TTGTGCATACTTTCATCTTTCCATTAAGGGTAATAATATGACCACATTAACTTATCTAGACTTGTGCAGACATTTCAAAATCTTTTGTAATCTTTTTTCCAAATCAATTTGAAATGACTCATTCCATATCAATTAGCCCCACTAAGTACAGAGATAATGTATCTCCTTTTAATTTCTTCTGAATTCAAGTAGGCTAGGTGAGAAAGGACACTCTAATAGCCATGGTAACAAAAACTTTCCTAAGCCTCTTCAGATGTTGAGTCGATTGACGTATGAGGAAACCACTTTTCTTTTATGTAGTATTCAGTTTTTGTGCTCCGAGTTACATAAAATCTTTGTATTCGGCATAGCAGATGGAATACATTAGTTGGAAAGGTGTAATTCAAGTGTTATTATGTTGAAATGCATGCAGGGTTACGCAACCAGAGCTGTCTTTATCATTTCCATAAGACACATCATCCTGTTTCTCTTCTACCTGCGACAACACACACAAGCTTCTGCACAGCCTCCCACTGATTTCGGACTTGGTCACCATGGAGACCCCCTTCAAGTGCAACTGATGAACCAGTTGGATTGTATCAGTCTCTCATGCCTCTTTTGTGCAGCGCGGTGATTGTGTAGCGATGATTCACTGCTCTGGGGTCAGCGCTTGGTTTGTTCAGGCTGTGCTAAATGTAGTGTCATCGGTACTTTAGACGGGAGACAGGAGACGGGCTTGCTCTTCCCTGGTAGACGAGATCTTCATGGGTTTTCGAAAGACGCACCGGCACTCGGCTTCAGAGACCTTGCTGAAGATCCTGAGGAAGAGGCGCAGCTCAGCTGTGGAAGTCTTGACTTCTTCTTCGCAAAGGGTCATTGTGGCACTTAGCATGTCCGAGGCACAGACTGACATCACAGACTGTGGATGTAATGTGTCATCTTTAAGTTTAAGTTGGAGCTATTTAGTCTGAGGACTGAATTCTGAATCCTTATTTTTCTTCATCTGTCTCTATAGTGAATGTCAGAGTACCCACTGCAAAGTACACCAAGGTGGGCGAGACTTTGAGGCATGTCATCCCAGGACATATGCAGTGCTCCATGGCATGTGGTGGTCGAGCGTGCAAATACGAAAACCCCTCTCGCTGGAGCGACAAAGAACAAGCCATCAAAGGACTGTACTCCTCCTGGTAAGCTGTCTTCTCGCTCTCTTCTCAAACAGTGTGCGTTGTTTGAAATGAACATGTCAAATATTTAGCAGAGTCAACATTGATTCATTGTACTAGTCCTAAACAATTCAAAACTCAGATATATTGTTAGTTAAGAGCAAGAAAAAATGTAAAAAGACTATTAATTTAATTCTCCAAAAAAATGCTAGTCTGTCCTGGATGTATGACCGGTCAAACACATTTTATTTTAACTTTATTTTTCATGAAGATAGCTTCTGATACTATTATGGCAAACAAACAAAAATTATTTTCCATCTGTTCTCCAAACCGCTTGTCCATCCTAGATAGATGGACATATTTTCCATGATTATTGCCTTTGATACTGATATGGGGAAAAAAATAAAATAATTATATATATATATATATATATATATTCTGTGTGTGTACTGTTTATATGTATTATGTATATATAAATACACACACATGCATGTTCAGTATATATTTCAGAAAAATATGCTATGTTTATATATGAAATATATTTATATATAATATAAAATATATGAATATACTGTAAATATATACATGAAAATACATGTAAATATTTTCAATATATATATACTGTATGTGTGTGTCTTTTATATATACATAATAAATATGCACAGTACACACACATATATTATGTAAACAAAAACTTTTATTTTGGACGATTTTTTTTTTCATCCATCTCCAAACTGCTTGTCCATCCATGGTCAGTCCATAACATTTAATTCATTAATTCATTAATTCATTCATTTTATCTATCTATTTATTTATTATTTTTATTTTATTTTACTTTATTTTATTTTATTCCCATGAATATTGCCTGATACTGATACGCCAATAAATAAATACAATTGCTCGTTTGCACATTAACCATTTGTTTTCCTTTTTGTCTTATTTTATAATATTTGTATTAATGTTATTGAGTGAGATATTTTGTTGATATCTAATTCATACTCTGTTCACAGGATAACTGATAATCTGTTAGCCATGGCAAGACCTTCAACTGAAATCATTGAAAAATTCAACGTCATCGAACAGTTTCATGCGTATGTTGTACTCAGTGGCAAGCTACCAATAACTGATTCCCAAGATGCACCATGAAAGGCTTTGCTTATGCTTAATCTTACTACCTTCTAGGTGTGGCTTAAAGACAATAATCAACCTGCAGCGTCCAGGGGAACATGCCAGCTGCGGCAGCACTCTGGAGCCAGAGAGCGGTTTCACCTATCGCCCAGAGGTTTTCATGGAGGCGGGGAGTGAGTAGATCACACATGCACACAAACATGCACCTCTTCCTATCTCAGTAGTCAGGGGAATCAGGCTGGGATAAATCCTTACTAAATCCTTACCGTTATCACATTAAATTGTCAGTGTGTTGGACAAGCTAAAGAACCTTTTATACATTATTTGCTTTCTATACATGAAGTGGTCGTGCTTGCAGGTGTTGTTCAGCTTCCATTCAGGTTTTGAGGCTTAGGGGGATTGGCAGCCCTTAACAAGATCTCCTGAGAGTGGTGGTGTGCTTATATAGACAGCACCTTCTGGGAAAATATGTAAGGCACAATTTCCAAAGAGCACAGCATGTCGAAACATGCATGAAACGTCTCTCAAATTAAGGAAGAGTCAGCACTGATGAGAGATCCTCTGTGTTATATAATTCATATTCCCAGTTATCCAGAAAGGACAGAGTATGGTTTTAAATAAAAAATAGACAACATTTTGTCTGTGTTCTTCAGTTTCTTCAGTTATTGGCCCTTTGGACTTTGGTGAATTCCCACCACAGTGTCATTTCCACCTCATCACAAATTATGTTTTGTGTTTAGCATTCTGGAATTAAAATGATGATGGTGGAAATTACATATATATCTCCTTAAATATAAAAATAAAATATCTCATTTGTCTTGCAAAGGTTGTTTTCATAGCCAACATTTAATGTAGCCTAAATAAAAGTTGTTTTTTAAAAACTTACCTTTAATTATTTTTTGCATAATTTGACAGAATTACAGTAGCTATGTTTCCATCCACCTATTTTTATGCGCATTTTGGGATATCGCATAAAAAACGCTGGATGGAAACGCCAAGATGCACATCAATTCTAAAAATGCGCATAAAAAACTTCTGCGCTCATCTAAGGAGGATAAGTTTCTTATCTGGTAAGAAAACATGTGCATAAACTACGATAGAAACACTTTTACTGAATAAATTCCTTAATGTGCATAAAAAAAGACATGTGACTTTGCGATGGGACAGCATAAAGCTGGACCAACCAACAGACCAATCTCATTTCACAGCATCTGAAATGCTAGTTCTAATGCTAATTCTAAAATGCTTGCGCAAAGTCTCGCCAAAGTGCTTCATTATAATTAACTCCCAGAACTGCGTTCCTAAACAGCAGGCTCCAAAAATAAGATAACATGAACGCGTTTCGTCTGCGCACTCTGAAGCTTGTAATATTAATAATATTGTTAAAATTACAATCATTAAAAATATAAAATTGTATACAAAAAATATTATATACCAATCTCAGGATAACTGATCTTCTCCTCTCCTGCAGCAAATTTAGTTTTTCTTCATGATATTTAGCGCAAGTTAATCAGGAAGTGACAATTTTGTTCTCTTTAACTCACTGGATGGAAACGGTGCTTTATTCGCAAATGTTTTATGCGATATTCCAATTTTGCGCATAAGTTTAATTCATAACTTTAGATCGAAACAGTGTGTGATTGGAAATGGCACAAAATAAAAATTGTGTTTACAAGTGATAACTTGGTTGTCTTTTTGAAAAAAGCAAGTGCACTAACTTTAGAAGGGGAAAATAAACATTTTCAAAATTGTCCAGTGTAGTAATAACATATATAATTTATAACATTTTCACACAAATATTGAAATGGTTAATTTCACTCTTTGATTATCATTGTTTTAAACATGTAATAAGACATGTTTATGATTAATATTAATAGTTTAAGATTGAAAATCTGGGTTTTGGACAAGGGTAAGACTATATAAAGAAATCTTAAAATCTGTTTACAACCTTTGGGACATAAATGTGCTAAAAGCAAATAGCTAACAAAAAAATGTGTTGTTTGAACTGAATTTTTTGAATTGCACTTTTTTAGTGGCTTCTTTGTTTCATCTTAAGAGACATACATTTTACTTTTTCCAGTTTATTTTTATAACTTTGGCTGGAAGGACTATGGCGTGGCATCCTTGACTACTATCCTTGACATGGTGAAGGTGATGTCATTTGCCATGCAAGAGGGGAAAATGGCTATCCACTGCCATGCTGGACTTGGCAGAACAGGTCAGTATCTAGATTCTCTTGAAAATTTTGCTGTGATTAATCTAACTGCAATAGATTTGCTTCAATCCTTATACATTTATCTGATTATTACCTACCCTTGATGCACATTTGTCTTTTCCTAGGTGTCTTAATAGCATGCTTCTTAGTATTCACATCCCGGATGAGTGCAGATCAGGCCATTTTGTTTGTTAGAGCTAAACGTCCAAATTCCATTCAGACTCGTGGCCAACTGTTGTGTGTGCGAGAGGTCGCCCAGTTCCTTGTGCCACTGCGGAGTGTATTCCCGTGTGCCGAGCCCAAAGCTCACATGGTCACGTTGTCTCAGTACCTGACTCGTCAGCGGCACCTGCTGCACGGCTATGAAGCACGTCTCATGAAGAACGTGCCAAAGATCGTACACCTGGTCTGCAGGCTCCTACTGGACATAGCAGAGAACCGGCAAACGGTGGAAGAGGAGGTGTTGGACATCCCGGACCTCACAGAGGAAGTGGAGAAGACTGTCTCGCTGCAAGCCCTAAAGCAGTTAGGGAAGGAGATGAGGGGGAAAGGAATTCCCATATCCTCACCTCACTCTCCCGACCAACCCAGCTTGCTTCTTAAAGAAAGCCAGTGTGATCCACCTCATGACCGGCCACTCTGTAGCGACCAGGAATTTGATGTGCTTTGGAGATGGCCGACGGTAGACAATACCTACAAGTCTCAGCTCATCTTGAGGAAATGCTTTAGCTATAGCGACTCCGCCTTGCACAAACTGGATTCCACGGTGCAGGTACTACAGAGTCCCCAGAATGCTCTTGGCTGCAAATCTGGGTTAAACTTTACAGAGGTTTATGGGTCGCAGAGCAGATTAGCTACACAAACCCCTGACCTTCTGCCATCCCCGTTGACATCCGAAATCAACAGCAGTCCCAAACATGGCTCTTTAACTGGTTCCTGTAGCTCCCTGGTACAATCCAAAAAAGTTGAAGGCCAAGCATCCTGCTCTCCTGTCTCCATAAAACGGGTACCTCTGAAGGAGGCAAAGCGCAGCATGTCTTATGGGTTTTTAGGGAGGACCAGTGACAGCATGTTTTCAATGCGTCAAGGTGGCAAAAGTCACCCCAGCCCTAATGAAAACACAACCTCTGATGTCACACAACAGTTGACAGATGTTCCTACGCTGACGCTTCAAAGTGAACTCCCACCTGAGACTCGTCGACTGTTTGTGGCCAAAGCTCTGACGATGGACATCGATGGAGATGACCTCAGGAACACAGTCTCAATGTGGCAGGTAGGAGCAATACTACAAGATTTTTGGACGAATTGAGTCTCAGAACTTCAATTCCATATCCTGTTCTTCTATAACACAACCTCAGATATTCACTTTCAGTTGTTTCTGCGATGTCTATTGCCTCTCAGACAGAGCTGAACTCCCGTGAAGGTGCATGGGAGAGGTTGTGCACCGAGAGAGATCCTGTGGTGCTCTCCACGCTCATGTGGTCTTGGCTAGAACAACTCAAGGAGCCAATCATCACAAAAGAGGATGTGGAGACTTTGGCTGGAAACAGATTCAATCCCCAACATGCTCTGAATTCACTGGACAAGGTATCAAACCACATGAGAAAATATCTTTATAGCAGGTTCTCCACCTTTTTGAATCAAAGGCCTCCCTCTTTGTTCAAGACATTATTCGAAAGCCCTCCTATGGAAGCTCATTTGTACATCCGTTGTACTTCTTTTTGCATTTTAATTCAAATTGGCATGAAATCTAAACTGCCTTATCAAACAGCTCAATATATGAAGTTGAATATATATATTATATCCAACTTTTTTTTGCTTCCATACAGTACACGCACATAAAGCGACATGTACTGTATAGCAAATCTCAACTGCATGATTTTGTTGTTGCAAAATGTAACTATTATCGTACACCTCTTTATTTAAAGTTGGTATGCCAAATTTTATCTGTAACTTTATCCTTTCCCAATACAGTATACATGCATAGTATATACTAGCTATATATACTCTTTAGCATATCTCAACTATTTGATTGCTTGTATCATCACAAAATTTAAACTGTATTATCACCTAGTACTCATCTGCTAAATGCGACTATAAGGCATAAAGATATTAAGATATTTTCAACATTAACATCATGATTTTCTATAAAGCTACTTTGAAACAATGTGTATAGTGAAAAAAATAAATCAAAATTCATTCTATTTTCTAAATGCATGTTATAAATCTTATTGTGAACAATATAATTTGTGTATATGTTTTTTTAATATCCAAAATTGCATAACTGGACCTTCTGATGAAAGTGTCAGACTTCTATCTGGAGACTCCACTCCATATCGTCCATATCATCATGACTTAAAGATTGTTAATATAATTAAATGTAATTAATATCAAGACTTATTGGGCCTCCTTTGGAAGATTCCCCCTAGTGGGCCCCAGCCCCCTGGTTGAGAACCTCTGCTTTGGAGTATATTTTATTGCAAATGCGACTTTTTTCACCATCTAAATAGATAATGTGTACGCTAAAACATCTGTGTGTCTTTTTATGTTGTTTAGGGACAAAAACAGACCCTTCTGTGTATTCTTGACTGTGTTGCTCATTTGCTTAAAATACCAGAAGAGGTTGAGAATGCCTTTTTTGAACGTACAATCAAAGCATTCACTTGGGTAAGTCATGGCCACAAAGTCAAGATGGTTTTTTTTCTCCTAGTAAGGTTTTGTGGTACTTTTTAGATTATTTATCCTAATTATGTGATTCTAATCTTTGTCTAATCCAGATTTCCTCAGATTCGGAGAACGGACAGTTAATCTGTAAGACTCTGAAAGACGTCATGATTCCTGTACTCCATGATTTGAGAACAAAAGCAATGGAGGAGCTTGACCTGACCTGCCACTGTTCCCATGTACCCTGATCAAGATGGTGGGAAACTGAAATCTGGAGTCTACTGTAATTTTGTAGTTGAAAAAGAAAGACACAAACTAACAGATTTACTGTTTTTTTCTGTTTGACTACTCATTAAAAAAATGTATTTTGTTGTCTTTTGAGAGAACAATAATTACTGCCATACATGAATGTGCCACAAGGTTTTGTTAGGCTATTTTTCTAATTGGTTTTTCTTAATAGTTTATTTTTGATACACAATATTTATTAGCTAACTGAGGAAACTATTTATTAATAAGTATGTCATGTATTTATTTTTATGCTTTTGTTTGGCTCTAACGAACTGAGGATTCTCATGAAAATATGTTTTGTCGTATAATACTGTTTGAATAGTATAATGGTAGATGTACTTCATTATTTACTAAACCAAATAATATCACAGTGCAACATCTCATTTTAAGATATAATCTTTAATGTTTTTACTGAATGAAGCAAATTGACAGATTTGCTGATTCTTGCCTTTGCAATTTGTATTTAAGGTTTCAAAAGGTTTGTATTTAAGGTACAATAGAGGACAACTGAATGCTTTCATTCATAATGCAATGCAGTTTACATTAGGAACAGCTCAGCATGGCCTCAGCATAATCTGAGAATGTATCAATACAATTTCCTGCTAAAATGAAGCAAAATAATGCTCTGTAGACAGGCTTTTGCAGGATGCTTTTTGCCTTTTATTGGCATTATTTATAACTAAGCTGCTTCTTTAACTTAAAAAGAACAAATATGAAGGAATATGTACAAATATGTTTGTCATGTGGTGTTTTAGTACTAGATAACACTGTTGAAACTGACCTCATTTGTCAACTAAAATGTTATCATTGTCTTTTGTATCGTAAGTATCATGTAGCCAGCAGAGTACGTTTATTTATTCATGTTAATAGAAGAACTGCAAAATGTTTTCTTGTCAGATTCCTGAAGACAGATTATTGTGGATTTTCCAAAGCACTGCATATTTTTTATTTATTACATTTTCATTCAAGTCTGTAAAATGAACATTCTGAATGTTACCTTTGGCACACTGTCTTATTAACATCCTAATTCAACTTTGCCTTCATTAAGCAAGTTTCTTTATTAAACTAATAAATCCTGTTTATTTACGTGTGTGGATAATAATTTCATGAAAGAAACAGCAATTCGATGGAGGTCATCTGATTCAGCAAGCGCTGCAAATAATAATTCTGATCATTCTGTTTCCTGCAGTAGTTCCAGTAGCCAAAGTGTTGCCCTGCAACCAACTCCAGTTTTTTAATAAGGAAAGATAACACAAAGTTTTAAAAGTACTTAGCATGTTTGAAAAGCAAAACAGTCTTTATAAGACTCTGTCTTGTCTTGTGTGTCTGGATCTTTTCATTCGGCCTGTTCTGGAGCTGCCTTGCAGCCATAATTATTACCAGGAGTGCATCAAACAAACTGAAGTTGCGTAAAAGGGTGCCCTTTTCCCTGCCTCATGTCCTGCTACGTCAGAAAGTATTTTTCCATGCATAAATCCACTAGAGAGTGTGATAAATGGTGTTTTATATTCTAATTGAAAGGTATGCCAGATATGAAGATGCATTTAGGTATGTGCTATTTTGTATAATTTGAGAACACTTTATTTTCAGAATGCTGCTGTGTCTATGAAGAAGTTCATCTCTGGTTTATTTTGTTTTAGGATGGCACTCTATGCTTTTACAGAAAATAAAAATACTTGTACAACTTGTCTTCAGAGATGATTTATGCTGTGTAGTAGCCTATCTGGGGTGAATATCAAGTATTTTTATTTATACTGGTGATTCATAGATCAAGATGTGTCAGGTGGAAAACAGAGGTAAATATATATGTACTACTTTTTAAGATCCTCTTACAGAGAATATAGATATAAATGTCTTCATGTTATTGCCCCTACATACTATATACCCTGGCAATCTGATTAAGTTTCACACACACTGATCATTTAATAACAGTAGGCTACTGGCTAAAAAGTATTGGTCTTATAAGTTGTGGATCTTTTTCTCAAAAAAACAAAAAAAAAATGAGCAGATGATTTTATTTTTTGCATCTCCTTCAATATTTATTTGAATGGTTATATAGCTACACTGACACATGGCAGACTGTACACTCTTCTCCTGGATCTTAGCTCTGCTTTCAAGGCTGTTGGCACTTATAGTTTAATACTATTTTATTCCAGTTTTGTTCATGACTCTGCTCAGTGAAATTCAGTGTTTGGTGATTGGTTGAATCAGTGAGTGTTTTTAATCCAGATGAGTAGCCTAGGTCTAGATATTAGTGTTTGAAAAAAAAAATCTTGAATCTTATCTATACTTTCATCATAAGCAGCTTGTAACTTCGAGCAAGACTTTTTTATAGCCAATTCAACAGCACCATCTGGTGGTTGGTGAATACACAGCAACTTCACTTTTAAAATTGTATCATATTTCTAATAACTATCGATCACAACTAATTATATTTTAATATAGTATATCACATATACATTTCTAATTATAGTAAACATTACATTTTACTATACTATGTATTCAACAATTATTAAATGAGTTACAGAAAACGTAAATAGCTACCTGGATCATGTGGATCTGTTTTCTTCCTCAAGATGTAATTTTGTGCTAAATTTTCTCACAATTTCCATAGGCTACTATTGTTGCCCTTGAGGCTAAATGCACAATCAATCAGTCAGTTAATATGAACTTTTCCATAAATATCCATATAGGCTATTCTACACTGTACAAAGCACTAATTGTTTTGGTGATTAAAATAACATTTAATGATAATTTATATAATATAATATAATTTATATATTTCTTCAAATAATTACATATTTCTTTTCAGAATACATATTTATTTATTTAGTTAGTTATTACATACATCTTATCTTATCTTATCTTATCTTATCTTATCATCTTATCTTATCATCTTATCTTATCACATACCGAAGCTGAGAGGGAGGTCCTCCTCATCGTCAGTCCTGTACGCGTTCATCCGGGTCCTGGAGTCTCAGCCCAGACGCTGACCGCGGGTGTTCATTGCTATTAGCTAGCCTTCAGCTTCCATTGAGGAGACAGTGAAGGTATGATAGAGCGTTTGTGTTTCAAAACAGTCCCTTCTTATTGCCAAGGATACCGATTCGGATTTATAGTGCATTTCTGTATTTTTCCTTACGTCCGATAAACTTTACAAGAAGTTTCCATCGCTTACTGCATTATTTAAGAGCTATATGTAAACTAGCTTGCTGGCTAATCTGTGAGGGACACTTATCCTGGCATGCTATCTGAATAGAGCCGAAATATATCACATGCTGTCCTCTGAAGATTTTAATAGTGTCGTGCATGTCAAAAAATGTTGTGCAGTTTCTACTTGTTCAGAGGAACGTTATATTTGGGCGATACATGTATTAGCAGGCTAGCCACTGGAGACCGCCATTTTTTATGAATCAAGCGAGGGAAATTTGAGCAACATACAAAGAGTTTGAGAGGACACACTAAAAGAGACTAAAGAATCCACCATTATAATGGGAAACAGTTGATATGACGGACTGTCTTTCATTTTTCTCTGTGTAAAATAACGTTTTGGAATCTTAATACATGTGGATGAGGAATCTTACTGTAAACTGTGAGCTAGATTACAGAAATCTATGTAGATTATTTCAGGATATCTAGAGTTGCTTAGTACTACACCAGCCAGGATGTGTCAGTTATTTACAGACTTGGGTCCAAGTCTGAGGTGTGATTTTTTTTTTAAGTCAGTTTTACACTCAGCCGTGACATTTCAGCTGCAAATGCAAACTGCATTCAACTAACGTTATATAATTTATATAGATATAATTGTATAATTGTGTCTGCTGCTTTTCTATATGGTGCCATGAGCTTTCAGAGAAGGAATGCAAGGTAAGTAAGGTTCCCATATTGAAAAACTGATAGTAAACTCAACTAATTCAGCACCACTTTATTATTATTATTATTTAGTGCAATTAACTGATGGTCAGATGCAGATTGAGGAACTAGTAGCACATTCACTGGTGTTCTCAGAAACGTGCCCTGTCAAAGATGAATATGCAACATGATTGGAGAACTTGCAGAACTGCCAGAATGTAAGTTAGGCTTGTGTGTTGCCAAATGCCAAGTGGGCAAATTTAATGGTTTCACTACCAGATCTTTGGAATGGATCTTTAACCACTTGCTTCCTGAATTAATTTTCTCTCATTACAATAACCAGCTCAGTTGTCAGTGTTTCCTGCACTTAGGGGATGTACTGCACCGCAACTGAATCTGCAGCCCATGGCACAATATATACAATATTATATTGACAATAATATTCAAACTAGGGATGTTCATTTCAGTTATTTTTCCTAACCGACAACCGACGCTCGTTAACCGACAAGATTATTTTAAATTAGAATTTAATTAAATTAGAAAGGATAAGTGTGTGTGACCCATTAAAAATACTAGCATTTGTTTCCCGGGGATTCATTTTACATGTGCAAAAAGCAGCAAACAACAGAAAATGAGGATTCACATGGTCATCATATCACATCACGCACCTGCAGCTCTTCTGCGAGCAGAGAAAAACATAATAAAGCTAGGCTATATATGTATATAACGAATAAATAGGCCCATACGAGAAATATATTTTTACTTAATAAATTAACAAAAGGAAAGAAAAACTGTGCAACAGGTAGCCTAGTATGCAGAGTTTCGGTTCATTTTTGTGCTGTGCGAAAGGAAACAGACGACAGAAAGTGGCATCCTATTTTTCTTTAGGCTTATTTTTCAAAGACACAAAGATTTGTTTTTATTGTGAATGTACACAAATAAAGGCAAACCTTTTACAATTCCGATTATCTTTAGGACTAAAAGGAGTAGCTGCTTCCACTGTTAGAAGGAAAAAATTCGAATGATTGCGCCGGCGCCGCATGCGCGCACACAGTTAAGCATTGCTACCTTGACAATAATGCAGCCTGTTCATTATCATAATAAAATACAGGCAGTCAAACATGGAAAAAAAACGCACTGCTCAGTTTAAATATGTAGTAAAATCTGTGCCGTTAAGCGTTATCACCGTACCGCCGCGATGTTATGCAAAACATTTTGTTTTATGTGGATATTGGAACGCGAGTGAAGTAGGCTATATAATAAATAATAATTTGCCATTCAAATACATCACGAATACAGAAACATTTGCTTTTGTGTCGAATGAGAGACCCAACGTTGGTTTCAGTTTCGTTTTATACTAAATTAATTTGTTTTAGCTTGTGTTTGTAAACATTTCGCGTCGGCATTAGGCCCATTTCTGAATGAAACAATAAAATGCGACTTATGGTTTTTTTTTCTCTCTAAAAAACACGATTTTTTTTATACGCGTAGGTAGCGTATTTTAACCATGCAGCAAACCTTTTTAAATATTTTGATAAATTACTGAAAAAATAAATAAATGACTTTTTAAACCGTTTAACTGATTGTATTAATCGGTCAAAAATTCTTACGGTCGGTTAACGGTTAACCTGTTAAAATGAACATCTCTAATTCAAACTTCTTATTGCGTTATTGTTGCTGACTGACAGAATGCAAAAATGTTTGTACAGTGCAATATGCTGTCCAGTTTGTGAACAAATCACTCAACTGGGTAACAAACCAGTATTAAAAGATTGGTGGTCAGTGCCAAAGCAACATCATGAAGGGAACAATTTATTATATATTTTTAACTATATTTATAACTGCACATATGTACTACGGCCCAACACTTAAGTTTGTATTTTGAATGCATGTATATTATCATAACACATTTTATTAACTCAAATGCATTGCTTCATGAAAAATTATCAGAATGCATTTTGTAAAAACAGACTTTTAGGAGATGTAGTTGAGTTTGTTTCATTATCAGAACATATTTGGATAAAGGTAGCATTATATTACTTGATTACCAATGGATCCTCTGTAGTGAATGGGTGCCGTCAGAATGAGAGTTCAAACAGTTAACAGTTAATCAGTAATTACTCCAGTACCGCATGACTCCAGTCAATCAATTAATGTTTTGTGAAGCAGAAAGATGCATGTTTGTAAGAAACGAATCCATCAAGGCATTTTTGCTTCTGGCTAAAAATATCAGGCCATAATGCATAATAACACTTCCTCTAGTGAAAAGGTCCACCCCCTGTTGTCCTCTCACATCAAAACGCACCAAAATATTTGTTTTGGACTGTTTTCACTTATTAACAGTGATCACATATGCAGAGACATATGCATATTTTCAACCTTTTCACTGGAGAATGTAATATTATGGATAGAGAATTCATATTTTAGCCAAGAGCAATGGTTTGAAGTTAAAGCTGTCTTGATGGATTTATTACAAACATGCAGTTTGTGGATTACTTGCATTACTGGAGGATTATTGTGATGTTTTTATCAGCTGTTTTTGGCCTCTCAATCTAATAGCACCCATTCACTGCAGAGGATCCATTGGTGAGCAAGTGGATGTAATGCTAAATTTCTCCAAATCTGTTCTAATGAAGAAACTCATCTACATCTTGGATAGCCTGAGGGCGAGTACATTTTAAGCAAATTACAATTTTTGGGTGAACTATTCCTTTAAGTTACGAAACACGAAATTACATTTAGAATGATATGCATCTACAAGCTACCAACAAGATGGCTGAAAACCAGGCTTTAAGTGCTTTGGTTTTCTCCTGCCTGCCTGCTGTTACTGACGGCATCTATCCCAGAGCCAAACTGGGCCCAAGTCCGAATGTGGCGGCATTTAATCTTGATTGAGATGTTAGTACGTAGCCAAGTCACACACAATGTCAACATGGCTTCCTGGTGCCTGAGAGGGTGCCAGTAACTTGGCCAGCCCCTCCATTTTGCTGCATTACCCGTGCTGTCTGATTCAGTTCGAGGGAGCATTTTGTAGTCCCACAGCCGTCTGGTTAGAGTCTCTTTTTCCGTAATCTGTTTTTTTCACAGTAACTTCTAATGATGTGCGACGAGAGCAGCAACTATTTTGCATTTTGAACAGTCGGTTTGTTTTTTATTTCTAAACTTAATTCAATAACCTTCTTCTTGTCCACAGACTGACTGTGCATTTGGAAATATGGTAGATGCTGAGGCGAGAATCCTAACATGGCGGACAGAAAGGACTTCGGAAAACATCAGTTTGGTCACTTCTGTCACTATCCAGTTACATCATTTCCAGGTGGAAAGAAGGCGACATGTGCACCGTGGGATGAGGTAGTAGGTTGTATAGTTTTAGGGTCACACCCACACTGGGAGATAACTATACAGCCTACTGTCTTTCTCAAAGTGAAAACGGAGCTACGGAGTATCATCCTACATTTCCTGATGTTTAATATCAGTGATAACATTGTCACGGTATGTGCTGGCAAGCTGAAATGTTTTTGATTGTTAAAAGAGATGGCAATGCTTGTGCAGTGTGAGGTAGTAGATTGTATAGTTGTAGGGTAGTGATTTTATCCTGTGTAGAAGATAACTATACAATCTATTGCCTTCCCTGAGGGGCAGAAATACACACCAAATGAACACCTATTTATCTTAGATAATGTGATTTCTTTTTTTTTTTAACTAAGTTTTAATTTTCCCTTGTGTCTTTTTCCACAAATACAATAAAAGTATTTGCAAATTTATCTGTGGTTTTCTTTGATTTAAATAATATGTATGATTAGTATTAAGGGCTTCCTGGTTTAATGCCTATTGATTAATAAACATCCTATGGTGCACAAGTGAAAAGAGGTTGTTCTTATCACGTCAGCATCATGCATTCATCCTGGAGATGGCACTCTTGTATTGTCTAAATATTGAACACATGTCTGCATGTCCCCTGTATGAATGATCAGCCACCAAGTTAGGATAAAAGAGTGTATTTAATTTTGTATTAAGCATATGCTGGATTTCTCATATTTTGGTTGCTTATTATTCCACTATACTTTTATATCTGTAGTGTCAACTTGCCAAACTTTGCATGCATGAAGGATCTGTAGGTAATTGCTGTGTGGGTCTTTTTGGGATGGATTGTTGCTTAGCAACTAGAAGTTAAATTTGCAATATTTAAATAGTCAGCCTCACTATCTTGTTTGAGATATACTATTATACTTATATATATTTATACTTATATTTCATCTGATTTAAAAAAAAAAATTTGTCAGTAGTTGACCATTTAGGTGAAATGTTTCAAAACGTGAACTCCAAGTCTAAGTGGGTCTAATGTTTCATATTTGGACATGGCTTTTAAAAGGTTGCACAATTCAAATATACTGTACTTACTGATTTCACATGATTAATTTTTATGAAATGATCACTCTTAAAACCTATGACTCAGTGCTCCATTGATCTTATAAATCTAGTCATGGACAAAAATATGAACTGGTATGTCAAAGTTTAATTGCAGTATTGTAGACAAAAATTGTACTAACAAATAACCAGGCACAATTTGAGTTTTCAGGGTCATTTCACTAAACAGGAACCATTTTCATTTCTGTCAGATAAACGAATTATTATAATTATTTAATATTCATATTAAGTAATAAAATACAAGTTAATAAATTGTGTTGGGCCTTCTCAAGCTAAACTTAAATATGTATATATAAGTTGGAATACAACTATATGCCTGTAGTAGTAGAGATGACTGAGTTCATTTGGCCACTACTAACCTTATATCTACAAATATCTAGTTTTCATGATTATCAAAAGTCATGTTAAAATAGTTGACATTTTCAGATTGTGTCTGGCAAACCCCAAAAAGTGAAAATGTAATAATAGTAATAAAAAAGAAGCACTAAAGAATTCATGAAGTCTTTTAATTATTCTCTTCTAATTTAAGGACTTGTTCTTTATTTTAAAGCTAAATTATGAAGGTAGCATGATTTGTTGATGTGGAAAGGTAATATGAGCTACTGTTAAAAGTCATTGCTTACACAAATTCTAATAAGGGACACTTTTCCTGGAATGACCTTTCAGTTATGAACATTTCATCTAACTTTCTATTTCATCTATTCATAGTAATAAACCTTACAGAGTTGAAAAGTTTGTGTTTCATTTTGCTGTTTTAATATTTGCTGTCCTGTTCTTGGTCCCGGAGTACACATGGTTCTTTGACATCTTTGTTTTGGAAGGTGGATAGATAGGCTAGATGCACACATCTCTCACCTCGCAATTAAGGACTTGAGGTGGGTGAGGGGGGAATCTAAAGTCGAACAAGTTTTCTTTTCTCATGGGAGGAGCAAACGGGTGCAGGAAAATAGATAAAAGCTCTGTTTAAGAAGCTGGAGCCTGGAGTTACTGCGATATGATCTACGCCAAAGAGCGCACAGAGAATATACCTTTCTTAGATTTATCACGGTATTATAGCTATAGAGTATAGATACTTATTGTAGTGACACGTCTGTCGCTTATTACTCGGCTGTCGTATCTCAAATCAGATTTTTACCTCCCTACACACCGTAGGCTACTTCTATGCATGCGTGTTGTTTGGTTGAACGCGTGCTCGTGGTGTGTTTTGAAGCCATAAGTCGCGTTATCAACCTGCTACTCGGCTTCAGGAGCGCACAGACGTATAAAGGAATATCGGAAAGTTTAATTTCCTCCAGAAAACACCTTGATAGATTTAACAGATAAAGGATCTGCTGGAAAGCGTGCTGTGAGTGTAAACCCGGGTAGTTAATCGAGACGCGTAAAAGTGATACAGAAGTTGTACATATGCAGAATAACATTAATCTCCGCACGTCCCGAAGGATATCAGCTCAGGTGTTCACGTCAAGTTTTCACGGAGTTTTGCATCCCTCCAAGGACTTGCTTTGCTTGTGATAAAGCCTCGCGTCCACCAGTTAGGCTACCCATCAGGAGACTACTATCATTTCACAGTCTATTAACAAAGTACAGGTTGAACATGAGCAGGAAAACACGTCGCTGGATTTTTCACATTTTCCTCTGTTTGGGGATTATATATCTGAAGATTGGGTAAGTAGGGTAAAATGGAATGTGTTTATCTGTTTTGACTTGTAAAGTGTTTACTACTGCATTTATGTAAAAAGACAGTTTAGTTGTAAATAGGTCTATATTAATTAGCATTTAATTATTAAGGGAACAGTTTTACCGCCATTGTGACACTTTGATCAAATTTGGTAAAATACTGTGTGAAGCAATAAGTGAAATGCACAGTTCTGATCTACAAGACCAGTGGTTATTTTTTGTGTCTAAAATGTGATAATGCTTCACATTTATGAGTCATTTTATTTGTCCTGATTTATTCAATTATTTAAAAAGAAAAAATGCAGTTAATGCAAAAATTATATTTTGAATTATGAACATGTTTTCAATTTTTTTATTTAATTCTGGATATTTTTCGAGGTGCTTAAATGAAAAAAATATATATATTTTTAAGAAAACAATAGTTTTGCAGCACGAGATTATCTATTTTTTCTTCTTTTTCTGTTGTTTATTAATGAGAAGTACCTAAGAACAATGTTTAAATATGCTATGTGTTATAATACATAAGACATTAATATATGTTTGTATCCCAAAGTGCTTTAGTGCTCAGTTTTGTTACCACATGTATACTGTGTTACTAAACTATAAATTATAGTTTAGTCATGGCCCATTCCACTCAAACTGTATTTGAAATATTCTATATTTTCTTGCATAAACATTCCATTTCGTTTTAAACTTTACAGGGGCTTTTCCTCCGTGGTTGCGTTGGGAGCAAGTGTTATCTGTAACAAAATTCCTGGTTTGGCCCCTCGTCAAAGGACTATCTGTCAAAGCCGGCCTGACGCTATCATTGTCATTGGAGAAGGAGCGCAAATGGGAATCAATGAGTGTCAGTTTCAATTCAAAAATGGAAGGTGGAACTGCTCGGCCCTCGGGGAAAGAACTGTCTTTGGAAAAGAGTTGAAAGTGGGTATGTTACCAAATTATTACATTTATACTGTTACAGTATTCAGAAATGAATTGCTGATATTTTTAACAAGTGGTCTTGTATTTTAGACATAGTTCTAATAAAAAAAAGTAAAGCACAAAGAAAGTTATTGACTAAACTACTTTCTTTCGAGCCCTGGAAAGAGTCAAAGCCCAAATAAAGCTGTTTTTACACTAAACTTGTGAATGAGGAGACGTTTAGATTTCTTTTCTTTTTTTTTTTGCTAAGAGACTGACTGACAATCTTTGTGCTATTTAACACTGAAATCGGAGGTCACTCTTAAACACCTGCTAGAACACTCTTACTTTTTAAAGCAAATATACGTTTTTTTTTCACAAACTTTGCATAGACTTATGTGTTTAGGAATGACACTATATTGTGTCCTGTTTCTGACATCTCATTTGAAATGATTTGTCATTTGATGTCAGGCGAATGTTTAGTCTCACACGCCACAGTAACAATGTTATGTTGGTTTCAGCTGCATGCATTCATGGAGCAAGTGCCAACGCGGCTGGATTTATAGCTCTCTCAACAGTCCACCCTCTCAAAAGAATTCTTTTTCTAGTCGTCCTGTCTTATCTGTAGATTTTAATGATTTGGCAGTCAAGGTTTTCACTTTACCACGGGTATAAGTTACAGTGGTTGAATAGTAGACCAAAAGAAAGTACAGTATTGTGAAGAAATTTAACAATATGTCACCTTAGAGAGACAAAGCATAAGTAATTAAGTGAGTTTTTCACTCGGGGTAATGTTATCCATTTTCCTAAGGCAAACTTAGGCCTGTTAAGGAGTCCTTCAGTGCTATTGAGCCTGCGACACATTGATGAATGGTGGTGTGAAGGACTTTGCTTTAGTTTCAGACCCTACTAGCAAATAGGAGGTGGCATTATTGCGTGGTTTTTCCTGTGGCTGCAGGGAATTTCGATGCTCAGTTATCCAAACTCTGCCGGAAATAAACTTCTTTTTCTAAACTTTCTTCTCTTTCCTTTAGCCGCACACTTTTAGGATCCAGTCAGTGTTGCGATGGTGTGGTTGAGGCCCAGGGGAGAAGATTAGATCTGTAGAGACTTGTATCTAACGCTGAAGGTGAAGCTATATTTTATCCCTCTGCATCAAAGACAAGCGCCACCTGAAAAAAAGCACAGGTTTTCGTCTCTTTCCATCTCATTCTGGAGCTGCACACACTCAGCCATTTACACTTGAATGGCAGCTTGGATCTGTTGTGGGTGCTGATTATATTATTTAATACTGTCTGCGTGGACAGCTGCTATGGGTCTTGTGTTGTGTGCCCTCTCATCTAAGCGCCTCAGAGCTGACGCTGACCTAGAGTGACAGACCGTGGTCTCCATTTCTTAAGTGGCCCAACTGCTTTATTTACCCAGACTCTTTTTGTCTATGGTCGGTATAGGGAGGATTAAATAAAGTGGACAACCGTTCAAACGGGATTGGTTTCAGTGGGTGTATGACCAGTCATGCTCATAGTAGCAGAAGTTAGAAGATGAAAAGAGGTAGTTAATCCTGTGGGGAGGGGCTTGCGTACTCCCAAAAAAAAAAATTGTTGAGTAATGTGCAGTAATTTTCAGGGCCTGGTACCAAGGTCGACATTTGGCACACACGGCAATAGATTCCGCTTCTAGGTGCACTTTGCACATTTTGCCGTCTCCACTACCCATGGACCCGTTCACCTTTTTATCATATATTTGAATGAAGTTCCGATTGAAATATAGCTTGCTGGAAATCAGCAGTTGGACAGATATGCGAAAGGCGTACCATCTTTGTGCTTGTGTTACTTTATGTTGCTTGAGCGCAACCCTCCTAAATCTTCTCTGACTTAACCACCCTCTGGTATGCTCAAAATAGTTTTCCTTCAACAGCATTAATGCATCAAGTTCAGACAAGTACATTGTATGAGGTTTATAAATTAACCTCGTGCATTTACAGTTTTGGCAAGAGGCATCTCGCACAGAATCATGCAATGCCACTGATTCAGATTTCTCTTGAAAATAAATGACACCCATGTCAAAACACACATGTTTTATGGAAGTCTTATCTGCTGTGTTTGTTTTCAGAATATCTTGATTTAAGTAAACATAGCTCGAGTGATATATAAAGACAAGGAGCATTCTACTCTGGTATTGATGAGAATTTTAAGATTTTGCGTCAATACAGTCTTCATTTTCCTTTCTTCAGGATACATCCCTACTCCTTTGGCGACAAGCCCAAACAACTCATAAAAATCTCCACATAATTGATGCCCCAAACTGGCCTTTGTTAAATTGCATGGGCAGAGTTCCAAGATGTTTATCATCAGCAGGTCAACACATACCAATGTTAGTTTCAGGAAACCACTGAAGACTGTTGCTGCCGCTCTTGATCGCTTGAAGGTGAAAATTCCTGAATTGCTGAGCCGGTCTGTTAACAGTCTGACATATGTGTGTGTGCTTTTCACTTCTTGCCATGAAATGATCAAAAGATAGAAAAGATATTAATTGTAATAACTCCCGACATCAATCCTTATGAGGCCTATAACTTTTTAAAGTGTTTCTTCGGTTCAGGTGTGTAAATGATTCTTAGGACAGTCAATACATAATGACTCATTAATCCAGAAAAGGATATGTACATTTCCGGGAATGTTAACATAACTGAGCAACAATGAATGCATCATATTTTTTAAGGGATTTTCCATGCAGTGCTTAGTCTCTTATTGTTTTAGCTTTTATATTTGGCGAATGCTTTTATCCAAGGCAACTTACATATTGTGAAAATTGGAAGCTTGGAACTCTTGGAAAGTTATTTGTTGCTTGATGTCACCTTACAAAAAAGTCCCTGAAATAACTATTCGCAGGACTTCAGACCTATCTTTGTCCTTATAAATGAAATACACCATTAACCTGGAAGTGCCCTGTTTAACAGTGGCAATCAATTATAGCAGTGCTCTGGCCAGGGAGGCACTGCATGCCTGAGGAGTTCATCTCCACAGGGTGGATCCCTCGTTCTGACGGAAGCTGGGACAGTGGCCAGGCTAGAGTCTAAACACATACCCTCTATCTCTACCATTCTATTGTCTCTGAAATAAACCCTTGTCCTTTGTGCTTATTAAAGAGATGGACCGTTCCTTCCTTTGCTCATCTGTGTGCAAACAGTTATTTGTCTTTCTGTTTCCTCTCTGACAACTGAAGGACAATTATTTGTGTTTTGAGTAATCACAGGTATGTGATCCATTTTTGTTTTGCCTATGTCGGGTCCTAGATCATTTTTATATAATGTTTTTCTCAGTAAGCCACCACACCATCTACCAGAGATTGCATACTGTTAATCAGTGTGAAGTGTGCATGATAAATTAACTACACTTGACTCAACTAACACATTTCCTTATTGCTATGAGTGTCAAGATATGTCAGGTATGTAGGTAACTGCCTCTGCTGGATCTTGTTGTCAGCAGTACTGACGGAGAATGTTCCTTTGAATCCAGGAAGTAAGGAAGCAGCCTTCACCTACGCCATTATCGCTGCCGGGGTCGCCCATGCCATCACAGCGGCCTGCACTCAGGGTACGCTGAGTGGCTGTGGTTGTGACAAGGAGAAGCAGGGCTTCTACAACCAAGAGGAGGGCTGGAAGTGGGGAGGATGTTCAGCTGATATTCGCTATGGTCTGAGCTTCTCAAAGGTGTTTATAGATGCACGGGAGATCAGGCAGAATGCCAGGACACTCATGAACCTTCATAACAATGAAGTGGGACGCAAGGTATGTGGCACAGTTTGCATGTCTTTTTAAGAAGTACCATGTCATGCATAAAAACATCATTTGGCCAGGATTGTCCAAACCTGCTCCTGGAGGGCAACTTTCCTGCAGGGTTTAGCTCCAACACACCTGCCTGGAAGGTTTTTAGTGATCCTGAAGACATTGGTTAGCTGGTCCAGGTTGTTTGATTGGGGCTAGAGCTAAACTCTGCTGGAACATGGCCCTCCAGGAGCAGGATTGGCAGGTGTTTCTTGTAAGTCCTACAGCAGGGGTTCTCAAATCTGGCACTTGAGGTCCATTTTCTTGAAGATTTTAGCTACAACCCTAATCAAACACACCTGAACAAGCTAATAGAGGTCTTCAGGATCACTAGTTACAGGCAGGCAGGTTTGATCAAGGTTGGAGCTAAACCTTTGCAGGAAAGAGGACCTCAAGGGCCAAGGTTGAGAACCACTGTTAAATGAATTTTCTCTGCTTTGGAGTGGGTGGTAGATTAACAATAACAAGGTGTAGCAAGGCAATGCAATGCATTTAGTTTTGGCATGCACTTGACCAGCTATTTGTGATTATGGCAAGACTCATTTTCATAATTGTGATACCATTTAAAAGCGGCAGTGATTCACTAGTGGACTTGGGATCAGTCGGTAAGACAATAAAGATACTACTGGATTTTATAGTCAAAGAAGACAAAAAGATTTCTTGTGTATTTGTAAAAATAACATTAAAATGCATACCCAGAATGCCCAGGCAGTTTGACTGAGCTTCATAAGCTATTCGTCATTCAGTGCCAATCTGAAGAGTGTGATGTTTCAGCACTCTGGACAGAGATTTTTTTTGTGCTTTAAACCCGTAATCCTGACCAGTAACCTTTTGTAACTTTTTTCATAAATCTCTTCTGGTATCTGGTGCCTCACATGCACCAAATCTCTCTTTATAGCTAGTATAATCAGTCCTGTGAATTGACAATTCACAAATTCATGCAATTTTGCACTATTCATTGAGCAGTTCTCAATGAAACTAAGGTCATGGCATCAACATGCCAAACACATGATTGTGATTGGTTAATGGGAAAATGCAAGGGGTGTGGCCTCACTTAAGACACATGGATTTTTCCTTTGTAAACTTTTCCTCAGACTTACTGTTTATCAGGAATCAGCAGCATGAACATACTAAGCCCGATATGCATCCTAGATTGCAGACAATTGCCAAAAAGACTCCTGAAAGTCTGAGAGGGAGGACAAAAAAAATTAAAATGCAAGGTAAAGCCTCTCCCACCCACGGCAAAAGTGAAAAAGAGTGAAAGGAAGAGAAAGAGAGGGAGAGAAAAGACACATTAACCAACCACACCAAAGATTACGCCGCCCTGAACAGGCAATCCACTGATGCCAATCAGACCCCTCGGATATCTTCCATATCTAAACAGGCACTCTGCTTCACTGAGTTCTGCTTACATTTGCCCATTCATTCATCTATTCTGAGCTAACCTATGTTTTTTCGGTGCATTTCTAAGCCTACAGCTAAGGTTTGTGAAATGCATTAACATTTAACATTAGTTTGTATGCAAATTAACTACAGGACAAGAAATGATACAGCATCCCTCAGTTACACTGCAGCTCAAAATGTTTTGTTTTTACCTGTGAGGTTTTACGTGCGTAGGTGTAACAAGGGGAGGCACACAGGCACCTGAAACCTGACTCCTGAGCTTTATCTGTGTACACTACACACAGGCTGATTGTTGTAGGAACTCTGCGATCATCGTTCAGTCAATGTTTATATCATATCCTGTGCAGATTCCGCTCTATTGCTTATACAAGACAAGAGACTCCTACAGACAACCTCTGATAGTTTGCCCCTTGCAACAATTTGTGGCGTGTGTTGTGTACACAAATGAAACTGTTTCCTACAAGTAGTCAGAGAGCCTGTGAACTTTGCAGGCCCGCTCTCTACGCAGTGAGAGGAATGAGGTAGTCTAGCACTGTAAGTTTAACAATCCTTGCATTCTTCAAATCGGAATGTTAAAAAACCTTTGTCTCAACCTGTAAAACCATTCCCAGAAACTGTATGCCACCGAGGGTGATTTCACTAATCCCCACTGTATTGTTAGTCTATCTAGATCTTGGTTTGCTGGAATATGCCTTGTAGATGATGTGAATATATGCAAAATGTTTAAACATGGTTTTTGACTAAAACTACCACATACCTTTTCGTGAACAAGATCTTTTCCTTCCTCATACATTCTCCGCTTAGCATCAGTAATTCTATCTTTTGTAATGGATGATTGCACTCTTCAAATTTGTCACCAGTTGGACTAAGTAAATCAACAATGAGTCATCAAACAGTCTACTTTCATAATTACCTTAGGCTAAGATTCCTAAAAGGAACCTAGGTGCCTAAACAATCCCAAAGGTATTGACTTGTTGATTTTTCCTCCCACTTCAGGTCTTGGAGAAGAGCATGCGTTTAGAGTGTAAATGTCACGGTGTATCTGGATCCTGCACCACCAAGACTTGCTGGACCACTCTCCCAAAGTTCCGGCAGTTGGGTTACATCCTCAAGGAGAAGTATAACCACGCCGTACATGTGGAACCGGTCCGAGCCAGTCGGAACAAGAGACCTACATTTCTGAAGGTTAAAAAGCCTTACTCGTACCGGAAGCCCATGGACACGGATTTGGTGTACATCGAGAAGTCGCCCAACTATTGCGAGGCAGATTCCATGACGGGTAGCATGGGAACCCAGGGCAGGATCTGCAACAAGACTGCACAGCAGGCCAATGGCTGCGACCTCATGTGCTGCGGCCGAGGATATAACACACACCAGTACTCACGCGTGTGGCAGTGCAACTGCAAGTTTCTTTGGTGTTGCTACGTCAAGTGCAACACCTGTAGTGAACGGACAGAAGTGTACACGTGCAAGTGAAATATTTTTTGCTGGGGAATTGATACACACCTGTGACTAGTGCGGTAGAGGGTCTACAAGTGACACAACCGGATGGCCACTGCTATGGGTTCCAGGTATTGAGAGGAAAGAGCAATTTGCACTGGAAATCGTGGGTCTGGTGGAGTCTAGACGGAGTAATTGTATGCAATGCATGCAGCTTTGCTCCAGAGTTCTGATGAGGGCTTCGGTGTTGGTACCTGTAGACACCTTTCTGTTCCAGTACTGAGCAACAGAGCGAAGTAGCCTGCAAAGGCTTGATCTGTAGACCGTGAGAAAGATGTGGGGTGTGATTATTGAGGGCGTTCTGCTCAGTAGACAGCACAGAAGGTATTTCTGAGGAACTTTTTTGGCCTGAGTGATTGATATAACAAATCTTACAACATAAAAAACTGTAAATGGACACAACAGTGATATTTAGCTTTTTATTTAGAGAAAATGGCTAATGTTAATTTATTTAATAAGGAAACTACTGATTTTTCTCATTGTGTTTACTAACTTGGATTTAGCTCTTCTCCTGTTTAATATTGTGTGCTTTGGATAGAAATAAACTGACCAACTTTTACACTGTACATCATGTGCTTTAGCTTAGGGATGAACCAACGACAATGCACAATACAAAAAAAGTGCACTGCACTCAAGGTGTAATTACAAGTCTCTGAAAGAGGAGACTCTACTGTCTTTAATGTATCATTGTAAGGCTTTTTGCTTCTATTTTCCCATCTCCTTAAGTGTCAACCCTTGCACATATATTCCTATGTACAATTACACACTGGAATTGGGCATCGTGTTTGAAGGCTCATTCCTTCCAAAGTGAATAACTCTGTTTTTAACATTGGTCCACAAGAACATTTGTCTTAAAATTGGAATAGTCCAATTAAAATAAGCGAATTTAAATGGGATCTAAATTCTACCCACTTAAACTTTGAGACCTCATTTGACACAAAGCTTTATGCTAATGAGGCCACAAGCTTCCCTCGCTTTTGGCTAATATTTGCTCTGTTAGAAAGAGAAAGAGAGAGAATCAGTAATTAATTCACTTTTCGAATGGAATAGCCTCAATACAGATGCCCCACCTGCTACTGATGTGGAATGTTGAGATCAGATAACCAGTTCTATTAATGTTATATATTATAGGTAATATAACACTTTTTGCTGCTAGTTTTGTTTTGTTCTGCAACTGTAGTTAGTACTAGTAGTATTTTGTGTGTTGTGACCAAATGTGGTTGTCCAGACAGATTGTCCCTGTGTTGATATATATTTTGTAAGAGATTATTTTTATATTTTATTTATTTTGTGTAAAGGAAAAACCCACTACCGATGTCCTTTAGATGGACAGAAATTAGAGAGATAAGCTAGAAACAGTGTGATTGTGTCACGGTACCAGCTTGAGCAGTTTATTGTAATCTACATCTCAATGAAGTATCACTCATGGTGATGTAGTTGCCAAGTACGTAATAATGAAAAAAAAAGACTGCATATAACAATACGATCATACTGGCGTTCGAACATGAAAACTTTCAAACGTAGCATTTTCATGACAAAGGTCCTGGATGTGGGATCAGTAAGGGAAACTGTTATTAAATAATCCTGGGGCAAAACTCTCTGGTACTGACAAAAATTCATGACTGAGGGTTTTTACCAAAGAACATCTGAATTTGAGCTTGGCTTTTTGTCAAGAGCTTAAGAGCTGGATGGCATTGATGTAATAATTATTTTACAAGAATCTGTGATTTCAACAGATGTTTTGCCAAATTAATTGTACTTCATTATTGTGTCATCATGTGTCCAACAGTGTTAATAAATATTTCCTTGGCTTCTACCATTTTTTTTTTTTTTTTAATGGGGACACAACAGTTTCCAAGGCATACTTTTTATTTATTTTACAGGGTTAACTCTAGTTAGTCAAATAAAAACTACCTAAACTAAATGACCTGTTTGTCAGAATCATCACATTTCCCATACCATCTCTCAGCCTTACATCTTACAACCAAACAGAGTCATCACTAGGCTTGACAGTCCCTCAAATTAGTAAAGCAGTAGCAAGTGGCAAAACATACATTGCACTTAACTTATGGTCGACTACTGGTTCTGACAATTTTACTACATGGATGACCGCAGGGCAGGGAGGAAGCTAACGAAAGTACTTGCATGTTAATGGTAGGGCTGGTGTAGTGCTTTAATTGATGAGTAGCAGCGAGGAGGGTGTCACAGCAATGGGCCGATAGAAGGGGGGTAAGACGGGTGATGGATTACTCTGACATCTGCTTCATTCACTTCCCAGCGCCATCACCACAACAACGCCTCTGTGGCCCCCAAAAATGCTATCCGGTCTCCCTGAGAAGCAGGCCTGCCCATTAGCGAAATGTTAACTATGCAAAATCCAGCTAACTTTTGGATGCTATTTATTTTGTCCCCCCCTAAAGGCGATAGGGATGGCAAAAAGAGAGGCTTTGCCATTGTGAAGGATGATGTCAAGAGGAATTTCAATCCAAAAGTTAAAAAAGATCTTAGCATCACCCCTTGAATAATCGCCACAAAACGCTCCTTTGAGAATCGGATGAAAACTCATCAATAGGCAGCAGTGTGAAAAGGCAGCTGGCCAAACAGCCTTGGTTAAAGTAACATTGACACCCAGTCACCATGAGCTGAATCACAATATTGTGTGGGTTTGAAAAACATTTTGGATGTTACTCTCTTTGGCTCAGGCTCGTGCTTCTTTTCCACATTCTGAATGGCATGACGTCGGAGAGCTTAACACTTGTAGATGGAGGAGACAAGAAATGTTAGAAGAACAATTAAGGGGAGACAAATTCCACATCTAGTTGCCTCCGTTTGTTACGCCTTCACTTTCCCTTCACAATGAAGCCATTTAATTAACAGAAACTCTCTGTGAAAACTTTAGTCTCAGAGTGGAGTTTTCTTGTCGTTGCACCAACGTGTCGCCCCCGCCATTATGTTATCATGCCTGCTTAATTTCAGGTGTGCAGGGATCAAAATATCAACTTTTACGCAATGCGTTCGTGCTGCAGTTGAGCGTGTTAGCCACCTGTTAGGGTGCATTGCGAGAAACTGTAAGCCAGGTGTTCGGCATGATGGCAGAACGTTGACTATGTACCTTACCCTCAATCTGACTGCACTTGGGTTTACTATCATGCTGTCTGCCAGCAACTGTTAATGCCAAGAGGCTATCATTGAAAGGCTAATTAAGATTCACGCAATGTTTTCCTATAAACTGTGCTGTTTCGCTGCCAAACCATTCATCGTTTAACGTCAACGCCTGTCTAGCAGGGTGATGGTTGTGAACTGAGACTTCCCCAGCTAACATGCGTTTTTATGGGCCACTTTGGGCGCACCTGTGCACACCTGGAATTCAACAGAAGCCTTTGATTTATAGCTGCCTGCTTGTCTACTTGAAGCTACTGCTGGAGCGATGCAGGGAACGGGCCACAGAAGACTGGTAATGTCCACAAGAAATTTCCTGGCCTAGCAACTACGTCAACTTCAGATGTCATGATGGCCATTGTGCCATCACATCTTTAACCCTATAAAGCTTCCTGTATTTAATATGAAAATTTATAAGGCCTCTTAATTATCAACATCATCAAAACTTTGCTGAAAAACCTGTTGTATACAATCTGCTACATGCCTTCTGCATCTGATTAATAGTTTATAGTTTTTAGCAGTTAAAAAGCCTTGTAGTATAACAACAAAAATAATTTGAAATTCTAATGGTACACGTTTCTTTTTGCTGTGAAATCTCTACTGATTTCTTAAAAAGTATATAAGAATACATTTTATATTGTTAGTAAGTTTCAAGATGAACATTTACTGGACTGAAGCAACTTAGGTTTACTTGATTATCCATGCATCATGTTTTAGAAAAATCATGTTAAAATATATTAAATATGACACATCAGGCTTTTGAAGAATATTTATTTTATCTCTCAATCATTGTATTCCATTGCATTATATGTTTTGCCCCACAATAAAAACTACAGAGCTTTAATCGGAAAACTAAGCATTTAAATATCAACTTACTAAGAAATATTATTGGGAGGCACAACTGATAATTTGGAGTGACAACTGATATTTATGCGTATTTATCTAAGCATTCTGCAACACCATTATAAAAAATCTCAAAGATTTACAATTCAAAATATTAGAATATCATCTTACTTTCTGACCATAAATATAAGCAATTGCACCAAATTGCATATTTTTGTTCCGTTTGGGCTTCTAAATAAGAGAGTTGTTTTCTTCCTCCTTGAGTATTAGCTCCATATTTTCCTATGTTAAGCCATCAAAGCCTGATGTATCAAGTACGATACTCAAAAAACACATTTGCAAACATTTTTGTCTAAAGGTTTAATAAACTGTTCCATTTCCATTATTTATATATATCAGGCTTTACTGGGTTAAATCACTTTAGGATCAGTGAGAAACACTGGTGACTTCATTGAGGTGAGATTAGCTTAAGGTAAGAGATGACTTCATTTTGGTGAAGATGAGCTGCTAATTCAGTGTAGGTTACGAAGTAGCTGTGCGTCATTCTTTTATTGGGCCTAAATAAATGCCTGCCCACTTTTCACAAGATGGAACAAGTCTGAAAACTGCCATTACTCCCCTTACCATATTAAAATACATAAGTCATGCATAGAGTAATAACTTTTCTTTAAAATTATGTTACAGCACAATCATACACGCAGCACAGCCGGTATTATTGAGAATAAACTTTCAAAGAACTGATGACTCCAATTCTACTCTTTAGATATCAAACATAAATCAGGGCACAGAGCAACACTCTTAATGTTCCACTGGCACACTTATAATTTGCCAGTGGCATCCATTCATTTACAGTGGGTACGGAAAGTATTCAGACCCCCTTCAATTTTTCACTCTTTGTTATATTGCAGCCATTTGCTAAAATCATTTAAGTTAATTTTTTTTCCTCATTAATGTACACACAGCACCCCATATTGACAGAAAAACACAGAATCGTTGACATTTTTGCAGATTTATTAAAAAAGAAAAACTGAAAAAATTGAAGGGGGTCTGAATACTTTCCGTACCCACTGTATGTTTGTGTGAGTGCCAGTGGAGCAACCCTGTATATAGCGCAGCACAAAAACTTGCATGAAATTACAGGTGGAATAGTTCATCCAAAAAATACAAATTTGAAGACTCTGCTAGTCTTTCTAATCGAGGCAATTACAATGACTGAAGACTAAAGCTCTGCAAAGCAAAATATACAAAAGCGCCATTAAAGTATCATAAAGGTGGTCCATAAAACTTACAAATGTGATAATAAAAATGCTTGAACTTATTGTGTGATGCTTGTCAGAATTTGAATACTCAGAAGCAGTTAATTTCTATTTACTTCTTGATCAGCTATAATTAATGTCTTACAGATAGCCTTCTGGTATATAATGCTTGACCATACAACTAATCCTTCAGTGACTCTAATCCTGTTGATGTGGTTATTACAGATCTGACACTGTGCATTAGGATTCTTTGATTCTTTTCTTTGTGCACAGCACAACATTGAGTATAGGAAACAATCTATGTATAGGAAACAATCTATGGTTGCTCAACAGGTGCACAACCATTCATTTCTATAGTAATTAGGGGGGGAAACAGTATTAGGGTGTCATATAGCCTTTAATTTCAAGAAGAACTTGACAAAAGGACATATAGAAAAGTCATCAAATTATAGAAAAGACATCAAATTATGTCTCGTATCGGAGCCTGAGGGACAAAGGCAACTCGTGGTATTTTCACAAAGGATTAGTGGTCTTACTGTTGACTTCCTTTGTGAAGAGAACTGCAAACATATATGTGTAGAATCGAGATTGCTCCTCAAACATAATACGACTTTTATTTTACATATGCGTGCCGGAGTATCACAGTCCTTTGTATGACTTCTTTTTACATGTCACATGAGACAAAGATGGTTACAATCTATATATCTCACCTCTATGGAACCACAACATAAGATGTTTGGTATAATAACAGAAGATTAAAGTTAAACCTGTGATCATGGATAAGAGAGAAAAAAGTATTATGCAACAGGACTCGCTTGTATATGCAAATTAGAGCAGGATCTGTCATTAAGAAATTGTTTCCATGAGTTCAAAGTGGTGAAGAACTATTATTTTGTTTTTTTTTCTTCCGTAAATCAATAGCTCACAAAAAAATAGTTTTTAGGGCCTAAGCACTTTAAGAAGTGGGTGTGGCAAAATGGCTTGATAGCGCCACCTATAAAATTTCAACAAAGTGCCCCTCGAGCTATGTTTCACATACATGTACAAAATTCGGTAGACATCTGTAACATACCAATACCTACAAAAAGTGCCCCGGTACGAAGTCCGAAACCCAACAGGAAGTCTGTTATTTAGAATTTTCTCGGCAAGTTTTGTGCCGTTTTTGCCTTCTGTGATGTTTAATTGCGAAGATCTTGAGTTTTCGTTGAAGGACGTGTCCGTGGCGGCCTGACAAACATTGATGTTTTGCCATGAAATAGGAAGTTGTTATAATTCAGGTAGACAATGTCCGACCTGCCCCAAACATCACATGTTTGATGAGAGTCCTGCCCTGAACACATGCCCATGCACATATTTAGTTATAGACATAGCGCCATCTGCTGGCAACAGGAAGTGACATGTTTTACGCTGTAACATACTCCTCCTAGAGATTGAATTACATAAACATTATAATTGGTCAGTCTAATCCAAAGGCCTTTGAGATGTTAAATTGCGAAGATCTTAAGTTTTCATTTGTGGCGGCCTGACAAAGTTCGATGTTTTGCCATGGAATA